CAAAAACCACCTATTGTCCCACCCGTTGTTCCACCTGTTGTTCCACCTGTTTCCCACCTGTGTTTTGTCTGTTGTTCCAGATGTCTTCTGGACATTTTTCAACATGTCTTCACCTGTATTTTTTCCCGTGTTTCACCTTATTTTGTCAGGCTACCTGTTGACAGTAACGTGGTCGACTCTCAGGCCTGTGCTTGTGACATTTCCAGGTATTTGGGCAGCTAACCTGAAGCTGATTACAGGTGTGTTCGATGGAAGAGTCAGGTTACGTGCTGCACGGGTTGCTGGTGTGGAACAGTGACTCCTGAGATGGAAAGGATGAAGTTTCTGTGAGAAGATGAATGAAAACTGACCTGCAGGTCCTTGGAGGTTAACCGCCACACACACACACACACCACAGAAGAAGAAGAGGAGGGGACTTCCTGCCAGATAAAGAGCGTTTGTTTCAGAAAGAGCCCTGATTGGTTAATGGGGGTCAGCAGGGGGCGACTCAGTGGAGCCTGACTTATAACTGTGAGTGATGTAAAATAAAACGGTGTGCAGGTGAGCTTCACACGGAAGCAGCTGATAGGCCGATATCTGTGAGAAGAGATTTACCTTTACCTGAGGCACACGCACCTGAGCAGGTGGAGGCATTGATCATGTTCAGGATGTTAAAGTGCTACAGCTGCACCTGTTGATGTCTCATGTTCATCGTAACAGAGTTATTGTTGATCAGGTATGACTCATACATATGAGTCTGTATCTATCTGATCTGGTTCTGGTTCTGGAGTTTCTGGGTCTCTCCGGCTCCTCGCTGCTCCCACAGCTCTTGGTTTCAGTCAGACATCAGGATCAAAGGTCCAGCTGAACTCCAGTCATTCAGAACCAAGCTGGACCAGACTATACCTTAAAGTGCCCCTAATTCCTGTTCTGGACCGGATCCCGGCGGCCGACCGGCTCCAGCTCGCCTCCGGTTTCAGGACGTCCTGCAGCAGATGGATGCAAACTCATGTTCCGCCCCGATTCCCACAGACAGCACGAAACCCAGCTCAGAAAAAACCCGCAGAAGGTCAGTGGGTTTCTGAGACTCTCATTCTGTCTGATAGTCGGATGTTCAGGAGTCCAGAAACTGTCCGGCAACAACACCCAGACCCACAAACAGCAAAACCATGAAATGTCACAAATAAAATGATGATAGGGACATAAGGAGAGTAAAAAAAGAAACTAAACAGTCTAAACAGTAAAAGTATAAAACCTGGTTTCACCTGTTCTCTACCTGCAGCCTGGAGTTGGTCAGAAAGGATCAGATCAGCAGGAAACGAAAAACACCGACGGTGGTTAGGGTTCGACCTGGGTTCTCCTGGGGGAGGAGGGTGAGGAGAAGGGTGAGGAGGAGAGTGAAGAGGGTAAGGAGAAGGGTGAGGAGAAGGAGAGGGAGGAGGAGGAGGGTGAGGAGGAGGAGAGGACGAGGAAGAAGAGGAGGATGAAGAAGAGGAGGAGGAGATGAGGAGGATGAAGAAGGGGAGGGGGAGGAAGCAGTGAGGAGGAGGGTGAGGAAGGGGGGAGGAGGGGGAGAACTGATCCTTTAAGTCCTTCGATGTGTATCAGGTAGTTCTGTTGGCCCGGGTCAGCAGCAGTGTTCTGTCGGTTCTGTTGGTTCTGTTGGTGCGTTAATGATCCTGTTTTCAGACTTTCAGCTGAACAATGAAAGTCTGCTGAAGTTCATTACAGCTGAACCTGATCGGCTCTGTGTGTGTGCTGATGGTTAGCAGGTTAGCTGGTTAGCTGGTTATCAGTTTAGCTGGTTAGCTGGTTATCAGTTTAGCTGGTTAGCTGTGGCCTCCCCTGGCTGGGTTTGGGGTGTTTTGGTTCAACATGTTTTAACAGAAACAGCAGATGATCCATGAAAGCAGCTTCTGTTTGATTTCAGTCTGTTTCTGTAGAAATTCACTAAACAACACATTTAAATATTCTGCACCAGGTCAGTTCATCAACAAATCAGATGTTTTTCTCACTCGAAGGAGAAACTGTCCAGATGGAGACCATGAATACCATGAGTACCATGAGTACCATGAATGAAGAGAGTTTTGCAGTAAAACATGAAGCTGCTGTTGCTGAGCTCACGTCCTTCTGTGAGTCAGAATCTTAAAGCAGCGTTGAGGCGACTGTAGTTACTATAGTTTATATATCTATAGTTTACACATTCAGCAACAGACGGCAGGTGTCCTGGACTCACCTGTTCCTATTTACCATCACATCTAGGTGACGTTCAGGCCTCTCAGAGAGATGACCTCGCCGCTCCTCATCCCTCCTACAGAGCTCTTATTGGACAGTTTCTCTTTCAATAGCTGACAGTCACAGAAACACCTTCCTTTCCAACGAAGCTGCATCTGATTAACCTTCAGAAAGAGACAGTTTCTCACCTGTGGTGAAGGGAAGACTTTTAGTTTGAAGGTCTGAGGCAGTCGTCAAGACTTCAGCTTCATTTTTTACTCACTTAGTTTAGCAAAATACCCGACTTTGGGTTAAAATGCAACTGCTGCCCCCTCTCGCCCTTACTGTTTACAATAGAACCTTTTGCAGTGCGTTCACATCCAGAGCTTAGCGGAATAACAGTGGGGGAGCTTTGTATGCTGATGACGTCATTTTAATGATGTCACAATTAAGTAAATCAATCCCAGCCTTGTTACAGCTAATAAAGGCATTTGGTGACGTTTCAGGATATAAAGTAAATAACACTAAGTCCTCTATACTACTACTTAATAGTAGGGATGGACCGATACCTCTTTTTGATTTCCGATACCGATACCGATACTTCAACTTTGAGTATCTGCAGATACCGATACCGATACCGATACCATCTCTCCTCCTAAACTTCTTTGGAAATACCTTATTTGCATGGATACATTTGTTTAGGATGCTTTATCAAAAGCCTCATACTATTAAAGCACAGACTTTGCTTTTCTAAGAAAGGAAACAAGCCAAAAGCATGTCTCACAGTGAAACTGCAGCTGCTTTATCTGAGCTGCAGTCAGACTACAGTGTGCACTCAGAGCCATTCACGTATTTAGAACAGATCACAATGACACAGCGACATTAAGCTGCAATTTAAAGTTTCAATTACCAAAACTTGCTATTGCTATTGTACTTCCGGCGCCAACGCGAGTGGCAGCCTCTCTAGCAGCTCCGTGCATTCTCGCACTCTTTTTTGCCTTTTCTCTTCGGTTTCTCTGGAAACGTATTATTCTATCCTATGGATATGGATTCTTTCACGCCAAGGCTCATCTATCCGAGGAACGTTGTACTCGCTCTTAGAGCTAAGTCCCGCACAGGTGAGG